GTGGGGCTAGCAACTCCACCCCGTAAAAAATCAACCTGTTACAGAAACGCCAACAATAGAGATAACAGAGACTTTTAGCCTGGAAAAAGAAGGGTCTTCAACTCGAAGACACATGACGCTGGGTGGTGAAAGTCGTGAGGAAGCCACTAAGCCGATTACCCTTCTTGCAACCAGGAGGATTGCTATCGGTACATGGAACGTGAGGACCATGTACGAGTCAAGAAAAACGGTGCAGGTCGCAGCAGAGATGAGGAGCAACAACATGACCCGACTAGGCATTAGTGAGACAAGAGGGACGCAAGCTGGACAAAGACGACTGTTGACAGGAGAGCTGTTGCTGTATTCCGGACATGAAGAGAGCGACACCTTAGAAGGATTCTCCAGATCCGCTGGCCAGACACCATCAGCATCATCTACCTCTTGGAGAGGACCTGTCAACTTCCAGCAGAGGAAGAAATTAGAAGGAGAAGGTGGGGTTGGATAGGACACACACTACGCAAGCAGCCAACCAACATTACTAGACAGGCATTGCGGTGGAACCCCAAAGCAAGCGGAAAAGAGGCCATCCAAGAAACACCTGGCAACGCGACCTTCAGGCTGATAGCATAAAAATGGGTTATACCTGGAACCAGCTAGAGCAAATGGCCCAGAATAAAGGACTCTGGAGATCTGTGGTTGGCGGCCCATACCCCGACTGGGGTGACGGGCGTGAGTGAGTGAGTGACTCCACTCAAACCATGCCAGACTTGCTACGTGTTACAACTTCTTCCCCCACTTGCCCTGAAGATTCCTTCTGAGACCTTACCTTCACTTACCTCTCTCTAAGCCGTAGAGACCACTGTTGTGTATGTCAGACGGCTAACAATCCCCATGGGAAAAAGTCACCCCTGTGCACCTCTGCTGACACAACCTACAGAATTAATCATTGACATAAAGCATAACTGATCTCTCTTTGCATACATGCGGCTCTGTTCATATCATAGTGACAACTCTTGCCAATCTGCTCCAACTAATCCTTCCACCATTCAGTACAGTTACACCTAGCTCAGGGAATGCAGCTGGAGTGCATGCAGATAAATGCTGGAACTCAAAGCTGTAGAACACAACACAAACAATGGAGTATTCTCTTTGTCCTTCCTCAGTCTACTTACTATAGACTCCTAGATTTTTAAGGCGAGAAGAGACCATTTGATGGTCTAACACAGGCCGGAGAATTCCAGTTACTCCTGTATTGAGCCTAATATATGTGATGGACTAAAGCACCCGGTCTTGGTTTGAAGAGTTGAAGAATCTACCACTTCTCTTGGTAGTTTAACCTTTGCACTCCCCTTTCAGTGGCTCCTGCCAGCTCCAGGGGCTGGGAGTGGAGCAGCAGAGTTAAGATGGTGTTGCAGGGGTGGTCCGTATACTTAACTTAGTATTTCCTGGTTTCTAGAAGTTTAGCCACTCTTCACGCTGTGGAAGGGCACAAGACCCACCAGCGGACCTTAGCTAACCATTAATGAAGTTTTGGGGTATTTAATTTCCATAGTTTAAGACAAATAATTTTCAGCACCATCATGTACCAGAGCCCAGTTGCACCCCTTCAGTGCGTCTGGCTCCTTGGCAGGGTCGGCTCCAGGCACCAGCTTTTTTTTTTTTGGCTGCTTGGGACGGCCAAAACCCTGGAGCCGGCCCTGCTCCTTGGGTACGATTATCCTGGCACAGAATGCACTGGCTCCATGGTAATCCCTTCACTGCCCCTGACTCATCTCTCTGCCTGTACAGCAGGGCTGGTTCTCCCTCCTTCGCACAGAGAAGAAGGTGTTGGCACAGGACCCACAAGTGGAGGAGCTGTCGAGAAATTACAGGGACTAGCATGGAGTCACTGGAGAGAGGGGGCAGTCATTGGGGAGGCATGGATGTGGGTGATTTTGGGGGATAGATGAACCTCCCCAGCACACCGCAATACACAGCTCTGATCCCCTTATTTTCATTCCATTCTTCCCTCTGCTGCTCCAACATCCACCCACATTCTCCTTCTCTGCTTTGACACCCCCTGTATTCCCTCCAATTGCTCAGACTCTCCCCCCCACTGCTCCAATATTCCTTCTATCATGCCAATGGCTCTGACTACCCCCACCCCCAACTGCTCCAAGCCCACCCCCCCACATACACTCTTACTGCATTGAGCACCTCCACACGCCAGCTGCACCCTCCCTGTTTCTGGTAAGCTTGGAGGGGCCGCAGGGAGGTAAAGAGGGTATGTACCAGCTGGAGGTAGGGAGATGCTGAGTCCCTCCCCCAAATCTGGGCCGAGTTTATGGGGAAGGGGCTGTAAATCAGGAGGCTCAGAGAGTCATGAAGCGGACCATTGATCTCAATATGATGAACACAGTTGAATGAGAACGCTCCATGGAGATTAACATGACCTGAAATAATAGCACTGAGGCATGTGAACTAGAGATAAGAGAATAAATGAGTTCTTTGGTTTTGGTGTTTGGTGGGCTCTTCCCTAAATATTGGTCTTTGGGGAAAACATCGCTGAATGCAGGTAGAGAGTAAGGAATGGGCAGAAGACATATTCTCTGAAAACTGCTAGGCAGTAGGGCTTGAACTCTCACCGCATAGGAGCGGCTCAGGTTCAGTGACCCCAAGCAGGTCACCCTGAGACACCCAGTTATTGTGAAAAGACTCCTTGCAAATCCTCTGGCTTCAACAGAGCTCTAATCTTGCTGCACATGCACATTTCACCTTTTTTGGCACATGCCAATCTGGATTTATAAACTGTACCCTTCAGTATAGCTGCCAAAGAGGCAATAGATGCCAGGCGTTAGGTGGGATAAATCCTGGGTGGCTGAGATCAGTGTTAGGAGGATTAGAATAATAGTTTGAGCCCCCGGTATGCAGAAAATAAGTTAGAACCAGGTGATTTTATAAAATGATTTTTAGGGTTGCTGTAATCTCTGGGGCCCTTTGCTCAAGGGGCCCCAGGTTTGGACCACTAACCCTCTCTCACCTCCATGAGGCACAGCAAATATCAAGGGAGTCTGCATCATCATGTGGATTGTAGAGTACAGTGCTTACAATGGTTGTCTTTTAAACAGTAAGCAGCTCTCAGCTGTAAGCACAGCAGAGCTGTCGCTTTACTAGAATTAACTTTAATACAATTCGCAAAGCATGAGAAGTGATAGCAGCAGGAGGGAACTTACCTTCTCAGCACAATAACTGGAGAAAACAACCTTATATAGAACGATAGTGGATGTTATCATTAACACTCATCTGTGTTGTGCAGAAGTGGAAAATACTTTTGTGCTGAGCTAACAGAGAGGCAAATCTTGACCCAGCTTAGTCAAAATAGCAGATTGTTGCATGCGCTTGTCCGAGTTTCTTTTTCTTTTGCTATGGAAATTTAAGTCTCAAGAAAGCTTTTGTCTTGCTTTGTAAAGAATACTTCTCTGCATTATTTTTAACAGAATAGAGCCTTTTTGTCTGTTTTCCTGGGATAAAATTATTACTGAAGATTGTGGGTCAGAAACACTGCTCAAGTCCATTCTGTTGTTTCTATTGTTTATTAGCTTTATAGTTTCCTTTCCCCTTTTCCAATTTGCTCTCAGCTCTGCCGCCTCACTTCACCGGGCTTCATTTTTTCTACAGTTAAACATTCAATAAAAAGGGAAATTAAGTTATTTATTAAAAGAGACTTTAGCCTTTATTCCTAAGTAATGCGGAGAGAGGGTTTTTTCGCTTTCTCTTCCTTGGCTTGCCATAGTATGGGAGTGGGGAGCTCCACACTCCATAGGTCAGCTCATGCTTCGCATTCTTTCAGTGGAACAAAGACAAGCCTTGTTTCCCCCTAGGTGAGTTTTGTTGGAGAAACTCATTCACAGCAAAGAGAATAATAGGACTGACTTGTCAAAAATTTAATGCCACAAATAAGTATGGATTATGACTGTTTCCTTGGAAATCCTCAGAATATCAGGGCTGTGGTTCACTGATACTACCACAACATGGTGTAATGAGCAGGGCCTTGTTTATAATGTAATTTATAAAGTATAAATGGCTATGTAAATCCTCATTTAAAATTTTTGCATCACCAGGCAAAAGCTAAATGTTTATTTACATAGATTCTCTCTCGCCTTCATGGTTTGGGGGTAGGGGAGAAAGGAAATCTTCTAAATTCAGTCTGAATGTATCTGATGCCATTATGCCTGTCTGAGTTTGCAAAATGGCCCCCAAAAAATTGCTCTGAATTTTGAACTGTTCTAATTCATCTCAGTGGCTGTCAGCTCTGAAGTTTAATGATGACAATTTAAATGTCAGCATAGTTAACAATTTCACTGCTGAATGTTTTAGCAGGAGTATCAAGTCAATGTGCTTTTCTATCACTTTGGGGTGTGTGGAGGCAAGAATCGGGAATGGTGGCAGTGGAGCAGATAATGCTGATAAATATTGAATGAGGAATTAAAGACCTCCACCCACTCAGTAATAATAATCATAATCAGGATAAATTAATCCTCTTTGTCCTTGACTAAAAAGGGAGTGAAGGGGGAGAATGTACTGATAGCCCTTGGTTGCCTCCTGGGTGCCCAAAATCAAAACTGCTTCCCTGAATGGCAAGTTCCAGCTGCCATATCCTTTACCCCTTGTCCCCTGCCCAGCACCTCCAGTGCACATTTCCCGTACAAAAGCCTGTGGCACACTGAAAACTAAGGGACAGCTTAAATTAATTTGTGTGTGTTCCTTTCTTAACAGGTAGTAATATTGTTTTTAGGTTACTTGTCAAAAACGAGCAATTGCTAAGTTCTTTGTACTTAGAAGTTGCCACCTTTACAGCCTTCCACAGTCACACAAAGACCTGGTTGGCAAGATTGCTATGTGTAGCAGTTTTACTCTACATTACTTATTCTTAATGATTGTTATTTCTTTTTTAATGTTACTTTTGGAAAGGAAGCTCAGATATTAGGTTTCAAGATTTTTTATTTCTCTCTCTGTCCCCCTCTTTCTTTTTTTTTACTAAGGGATCTCGAAGCTAGAGCACAGAGTGAGTTCTTTCGGGCCTTTTTCAGACTGCCGGGGAAGGAGAAGCTACATGAAGTTGCAGACTGTTCTTTGTGGACTCCATTTAGTCGCTGTCACACAGCAGGAAGGATGTATACTTCAGACAGCTATATCTGTTTTGCCAGCAAAGAAAGTGGGTGTTGCAATGTTCTCATCCCCCTTAGAGAGGTAGGGTCTGCTGTTTGATTTTAATTTTACTCTGTGCCTGTTTTTTGCTGATCCAAACTGCTGCTGTCCATTTACTTAGCTGAAAAACAGTTGTTTTCAATCAGGAGGAGATGTGCATGTGTGGAAGAGAGTTGCACTACGTTTTGTTCTTATGTTCATTAGCAGATTAATTCCTATACAGCAGTTGGGTGAGGCAACGCATTTCTCAAAGTAGTATTGCCGATTAATACAATGTATTGTATTGATATTGATCTACCCAAGGAATAATTGCTATTGACAGTAACTGTGGCCCAAATTCTCCCAATTCCCCCCTCAGTAGACATGGGGGATGAGAACTGGGAAAGTCCCAAGGTAGAGGTATGGAAAGAGGGAGTGCCAGTTTTATTTATTTTATTAACTGTGGTAGCACCCAAAGGTTTCAAGGATTGGGGCCCCATTGGGTGCTGAAAACACACGCAGATAAGATACAGTGGCATCTTTCCCTCCATTTCATGCACAGTCTTCCCCCACCAAGCCTGTGGGGATTCCACACACAAGGGACTACTGATTGGCAGTGTATTGTCCTTTGGAGCTGAGGGAAGCAGGGGGCTCTGGGGGCAGTGCTGACACACAGGTCTCCAACACAGACATGATAGTCCGGTCTTTTAAAAAAGACTTGTACGTTTTTATCTAATGGAGATTTTTTTAGACAAAATTAACTTCTTGGGAGTCTGATGTAGAATCAATAGAATTTGGTTTCTGCTTTCAGCAGAATTAAGTGGCATTTTCCCCTCACTGCAAAAAGTCTGGCCTTCAAGTATTATGAGCATTTCAATATATTTCATTTAGCCGTTGTCTGGCTCATAGATGGCAAGTAATAACTGCCAGGCACCTATTTTAAATGCACTGGAGTGCGATGCTGTTTGGTTTTTAAAGATTTTTTTTTTTATCCCTGTGCCTGCAGTTGTGATCTCTTAATGATGAAGCTCTACTTTCATCCTGAACCAATAACAGCAATTTCTGAATGATATCCTGACCCTAGCAATGACTTGTAGTGACACAGCATCTGAAAACAAGTGGTATAATGTACATAATTGGAGACAACGGCTTTTTAATTTCATATCTATCAAAAACTGTTATGCTCACAGGGTTAAAAACTTAATTCAATGCTATTGGGAAGAAACACCATTTTTCCTCAAGAATTTGGTTATGTTGATCCCATTCCAATTGTTGTTTTAAATGTCAGCAAAACCATATCTGATTTTAAAAAGTTGTATAATGATTTTGAGTGCCCAGTTTGAGACACCTTAATCTGGCCTGAACTTCAGAAGGCAGGTGCTCAGATTTTTGAAAATCAGGCTTCTTTAAGGTATCTGAACTTGAGCATTCAAAATCACAAGTTACTCTTGAAAATCTTTAGACTGAAGGAGGTAAGGTCATCTGTCTAAAGTAAAGAAAATTTAATCAATCTTGATTTTTAGCGTGTATCTGACCATTAGACAATCTGAATAGTCACAATTAATATTGGTGTGCAAAGAAATATATCCCTTTATGTACATTTCAGTGCATGTACAGTATATTAGGGAGTGTATTTGAATGGTGACTAACACATTTTCTGTCATGTTTTTGGAATAGGTGGTTAGTATAGAGAAGATGGAGGACACTAGTCTCCTTCCCAATCCCATCATTATTAGTATAAGGAGCAAGATGGCCTTTCAGTTCATTGAGCTGAAGGACAGAGATAGCTTGGTGGAGAACCTGCTTCTGAGACTAAAACAAGTCAACACCAGCAACCCAGTGCACTATAACTGCTTGGAAAAAAAAGAAACGGTACTAAACTTTTGATCTGTTTCGAATTGCATAATGATGATAATACTTAGCCTTTTGTCCTGCATCTCCTAAAATCATAACTGGAGCAGAAAATTGGTCAGAAGCCTGTGATTAAGGACAGGATTAGATTTCAAAATGATGGTGACAAACTGTAGAAATGGTCTGAAATAAATAGGATAAAATTCAGTAAGGACAAATGCAAAGTACTGCACTTAGGAAGGAATAATCAATTGCACAAATACAAAATGTAAAATGACTGCTTAGGAAGGAGAACTGCAGAAAGGATTTGGGGGTTATAGTGGATCACCAACTAAATATGAGTCAACAATGTAATACTGTTGCAAAAAAAGCTAACATCATTCTGGGATGTGTTAACAGGAGTGTTGAAAGCAAGACACAAGAAGAAATTCTTCCACTCTACTCAGTGTTAAGGCCTCAACTGGACTATTATCTCCAGTTCTGGGCACCACACTTCGGGCAAGGTGTGGACAAATTGGAAAAAGTCCAGAGGAGAGCAACAAAAATTATTAAAAGTCTAGAAAACATGACCTACGAGGAAAGATTGAAAAAAACTGGGTTTGTTTAAGAGAATGGGGGGGGGGGATATGATAATAGTCTCCTACTACGTAAAAGATTGTTAAGAAAAGGAGGGTAATAAATTGTTTTCCTTAGCCACTGAAGACAGGACAGAAGTAATAGGCTTAAAATGCAGCAACGGAGATTTAGGTCAGATGTTTGGAAAAACTTTCTAACTATCAGGGTAGTTAAGCACTTGAACAAATTGCCAAGGGAGGTTGTGGAATCTCTGTCATTGGAGGCTTTTAAGAACAGGTTAGACAAACACCTCTTTGGGATGGTCTAGAAATTTAGTTCTGCCTCGATGCAGGGGACTGGACTAGATGATCTGACGAGATCCCTGGCAATCCTATGTTTCTATGATTCTGTGATTTAAATTTACTAGTAATTTCTTATGGATTAATGTAATGATTTTTTCCTATGGTGTTTATAAACTGTAGGCTAATTAACTGTGTGTTTGGTACAGTATCTTTTGAATTAACCTATAGTAAATTCTTTTCTACTGTATTGTATAAACTATCAGGGCATTTTATTCTTTGTGCAGGACCAAAAATGCTCAATATTTAACCAGGAAGCTAAGAAACACTGGCTGACAGATAACTAGTACTTGCTGAAGTGAAGAATTATGTTCTTCTATAAAATTGTCAGACACATAGAAGAACATAAATTGTTGGGCAAAAGTCAACATGTTTTCTGTAAAGGGAAATCGTGTCTTACTAATCTATTAGAGTTCTTTGAAGGGATCAACAAACATGTGGACAAGGGGGATCCAGTGGACATAGTGTACTTAGATTTCCAGAAAGCCTTTGACAAGGTCCCTCACCAAAGGCTCTTACGTAAATTAAGTTGTCACGGGATAAGAGGGAAGATCCTTTCATGGATTGAGAACTGGTTAAAAGACAGGGAACAAAGGGTAGGAATAAATGATAAATTTTCAGAATGGAGAGGGGTAACTAGTAGTGTTCCCCAAGGGTCAGTCCTAGGAACAATCC